TCAATCATTTTCTTCCATATATAGTTCTTACTCTTTCACTCGTTCTTTTCGTAAAAAAGTGGAAGGAGAAAAAAGTCGAGAGATTTCTCGAGGGCGAGAGCCTGAGTGGAATACGAGGTTTGTCAGAGGTCAAGGTTAAGGCAAGCACATGTTTCTTTCCCTTTCTCTCTTTCTCTCTTCTTTATCTTACTGTCTTTGGACTCTTACAGTAAGCTTTCCACTTTCTCCCCTCTCGCAAATCTTTCATCGTAAGCACTTATATACTTACATACTTACATACTTACTTATGTTAGTTACTTTACCTCTTTTATGTCGTTCATTGCTACATAAGACAGTGTCAAGGGTCGCTGAACTTTAGATTTGAGTAACTTTTACTTCTTGTTCTTTTTTTATTTCATTTCATTTTTTTAATCCTTATCTTTTTTCTCTATCCTCTCTTTCAAGCGTTCCTCTTCACTTCATTTCTTCCCCAAACATCAAAAATATAAAAACAGAGAATGAGAGAAAGAGAGAAGGAGAGAAAGATCTTTTGAACTTAGGATTACTTCTTTCATTGAAAAAAAAGAAAAAAATAGAAAAAGTAATTAGAAGAGTTCATTAACATTTTTTATAAATATTTATTTTATTTTAATATATATTGAAATATAGTTAATTATAATTTTTTAAATTATTTTTATTGAATGTAAATATTTTATATTGTTATTATAAAATAGAGAATAGAATTAGAATAAACATATTTAATTGTATAATCGAATTTTTATATCCGATCAGTATATACGATAAATGCGTAAATACTTGTTGTTCTATTCCAATCAAGCTGTCACACCACTTTCTATTTATAATTAATAAATGTTAATTTTATAATTTTGCTAATAAAACGGATCGATTATGAGCCTCTGCTATAAATTTTTTTCTTGTAAAAATGTACATCACTCTTATAGCTTGTGTTGCTTTCTTTTCTCGTAATATTTTTATACTGGATAAACAAATTTTTCTTTTCTATTTTTTTTTTCTATTTTTCTTTTATACCTATCTATGTCGTTTACGAAAGATGATACATATCTTGGTTACGTTTGTTGGGACTTCTGATTTATCGTTGCCAACTGAAACGTTTAAGAAGATCAAAGATCTCAACTTCCTTTAAAATGCACTCGTAGCATCGAAACAATATCGATATATATCTTTATTTTTACAAAGAAATAATAATAATAATAAAAAAAGAACAGAACTGTTTGTAATTTAAATTATGAAATAATCTGGCACGAGATGTATGAAATATTTTTATACCAAAATTACAAAAACACTTTATTTATTATTCTTTTCTATTATTTCCTTTCTTTTTTTTTCCCATTGTAAAATAAATTTGTTTTTACTTTTCTAAGAACTCGTGACTCTATTTTTGGGTTGCCTTCCATGACCGACCTTTTATGTAAAGGATTATGCAAAGGAATAATATCTTATCAGCGTGCTATCTCGACAATATTTTACCGAACAAAATAAAATTGTTCACTGTATTTTTAACTATATAGTTTCTTTTTTTTATTACAGATAGTACGATTAATGCTGATTATTCAAAAATTCGCATATTGTCACATTTAAATCATATAAACTTGTTTACTTGTATTCTACTGAATATTTTACTATTGAAATTAATATCATATCATATTTTTATCACGTATTCTTGTGTGAAAAAGTAAAAAAGCTAGTCTTGATAATATAATAAACAGAAATTTAACTAATAAACATAGATATTTAAGTAGGTAACATTTAAAATGATTATCAAGTTGTAAATGTTAATTGAAATAATTACATAGGTAATTTCTATAACAAAATAAATTTTATTATGACAAAATAAAAGAAGATAATATTAAAAAATAAATAAACCCAATTGTTTATTTTACGATTTATTTAAGAATTAATTTAAAATTAGACGAATTTGATAAGAATTGATTATCGGTCAAATCTATCGAGAAAGATAAACTCAGGAATTAATCGGGTTATATGTATATAAATATATATTATCACAAATTCTTTTTCCGTCGACTAATTCTAGACACGTGTAAGTACAACCGTTCTAAGCTGATCAAGCAGTAATTAAATCCGCTTGATTTTCATATGCATTACTAACACTTTTTTAAATCACGAGATAATAATAACTTTTGAAGACTATGCTAAATATATCGTTCTTTTATAAGAGCACAATTAAAAAATTATCTATTATATCATCGTTCTATCCTCTTTTATCTTATATTTTTGTATTTTACTTTTTTTTCTCCCTTTCTCTCTCTCTCTCTCTCTCTCTCTCTCTTTATTTTCATTTGTACAATTCATTTCGTTAATTATTTCATCACCTATCAACAACAATGTATTTATTTTTTCCTTACTCGGGGATTTTTTTTCGTACGAAAAAAAAGAAACATTGCTAATTGATCTACAAATATATATTTAATATTTATCAACTTCATTTATTATCGATGATTAGTTGGTTGAATTAGCTATTGAAAAGTAAATGAATTATGAAACAACTTTGAGCAAAAAAGAAAGAGAAAAAGAGACAGAAAAAAGAAATATGAAGATATAAAATTGTTAATAAGAAATCATTCTTATCAATTAGTTATCAATCTATCGATTGACGTATTTTAATAGAATTATTAAACAGCGAACTTACATCGATATTTTGATAACGTTACCGAAATTTTCTTATTTTATTTGTGTAACATCTAAAAGATATTTGATTTGATCAAATATTATAGTTGTAATTTCAAGAAAAAGAAATAGACAAAAAGAATCATAATTATAAGAATGTTTTTTTGAAGAGATTGATATTTTAATGCAAAAATATTTCGACAGATTACTTCGAATTGATACTAGAATGATATTGCAATGTATACTTATTGCGAAATGTTGATACTCTATAATAAGCAAGTAATGCTTATTCATTAATTATTATGACAATCTTCTTCTATCAAAGCACATGGTACATTTATATGAATATTATAATGACGTAAGACATATAATTACGTAGAGTTTTAATAGAATAACATCATCTCATCGAACATAATTTTAATGGTAAACAAGCTCGTTTGAAAAATAAATTACTGGTTAAAAATTATACAGAAATTATTATACTAATACAAACACATAAATATTTTGATCAATCTGTGTATTTGCATTAATTTGCGTAATAATTTATCCCGATAAATTGTGCTTTGTATTGTTTAAAAAAAAATAGAATTACTGTTAATGTGTGTGTGTGCGCGCGTATCTATGTGCAATTGTTATGAATTTAAAAAATATAATTGTTGGCACATTAATTTCATCATTTAATAATCAAGCAATAAATGGAACAGATGCCAATGCAACGTTCGGAATAATTCCAATCATTAGAAAAATTCATTTTTCTTATACTCATTTTGGTTTTCTAACCTTGAAGTTTATCTTCTTTAGTTTCTTTTAAAGATTATTTTTGTATGTCATAAGGTTTTCAGTTATTTTATACGAGTTACTAACAATAAGTATTACAGTTTAATACCCGTTGCATTAGTTATCGGAGAAAGAACCTTATATACAAAAATTATTAAATTCATTTAAAAATTATTAAATTATTAAATTCGTGAATAATTAATTTTTCATTTTTGTGATTGCCACTTGTTATATAAATTTTCGAAATTGAAAAATCATCAATAAATGAATATTTTTAAATAATATCTTATAATTTATATGCACAAACGTACAGAAATATGCACAACCATGAACTTTAAATGTCTAAGCAATTTATAAATTTATTCTTATTTCTGTTAAAATATAATAGTTGCATGTGTTATGTCAAAGAATATGAATCTAACTTATTGTTATTGTCACGCATTGTAAAAGAGTATTGCCAATTTACAGAAGACAGTTAAAAAAAATCGAATTTAAATTTAGTACGTCCGAAGCAAAGATCGAATACACAACTTTGAAACGATAACGCGATAACACGAATATGAAATGTATTTACCGTATTATTATTACAATTGTGACGGTCGTTAAACATAAAAATCATTACAAAGCATGAAATAAGAAGATATAAGGTTCTTGCAAATAAAATCATCAATCGTAAAATAAAATTTTATAATTATGTCACATTTCTATAATAATTATCGAAATTTCAAATAATAGTTAAAATAGAACGTGTTAAATAAGCAAATTAGAATATTGCATCATGCGACTAAAAATGACTATTACTTTTTAGAAAAACAACGATGTAGAATTGAGAAAAAAAAGCAATTAACGATTTAAAAATATTCGATAAAGTTTAAAAAATAATTATAGATAATAATAATAACAATAATAATAATCTTTCAACAATGTATGGAAAAATATCAATAAATAATAATATGCAAAGTCATTATTATCGAGAAATAAAACTAAGAATAAGAGTGATATAGAAGAACGATAAAATTTCATTGGTAATAAAAACAAATTTCGCGCCAATCTTCGTATCCCGGGAGACGGAATACCACGTGATCCGAAGTTAACCGATATTGGAGCCGACGAACGTAGGTTATAAATAACGGGCGCCAGTGTGAGGGGAGCCTCTTTTACTGCCCATACGTTCACTCGGTGCATTCGCCCGTCTGACCATTACGTCGTGCGCTGTGCTTCTGTTGAGTTCGTTTCGCGCTTTTAAGGAGAAATATCATAGAAAAGAAACAAAAAAGAAAGAAAGAAAAAAAGAGAAAAAGAAAAGAAGCAATCAAGCAAAAAAAGAAAGAAAAAAAGAGAAAAATTCGGCGTGTATTAAACGATACCCTCCGAACAAAATTCGAACACGTTACTCCAATCCTAATTCCACGAATTTACCTATTTAAGACTGCTACACGACAAAGAAGGAAAAGAATCGGGAACGGACGGCCTTAAAACGTGTGCTGAGAAACCATTAGGGCTACGAAGTAAGAGGAGAAGAGAGAATAAGAAGAAGAAGAAGAAGAACAAAAAGAGGTAAAGGAGAGAGAGAGAGAGAGAAAGAAAGAAAGAAAGAAAGAAAAAGATAGAAAAAAACCGAATAGAATAGAAAGAGACCGAAAGATAGAGGAAATCTCTAGACCAACACACAAATCAGAAACATAGAGAGAAAGAGAGAGTGTGTGTGTTTGTAAAATAAACGAAAAGAAAGGATTAAAGTAAACGGCAAAGACGTCGTCGAAAAAAAGAAAAATGCCGGAAACCGCGCACCACATGAATGGATACGCGAACGGGCACACACCGCCCGAACTTCAGCAGGATACTAGTTTTTTATTCACCTCTGAGTCGGTTGGTGAAGGACATCCAGGTAAACTCTAAATTCAATCTTATTTATTAGATCTAATCTTAAGTACTAGTTTATTCATTCGAAACGATTAAAAAGCGCATCATTTTGTATCTCTTTCTACATGTTCGTTATACGCTCATCTTTCTTCTTCTCTCCTACTTCTTGTATGAGAAAAAGAGAAAGAGAGAGAAAGGAAGAGGTGCTCAACTTTGATCGCGTGTTGTATGCCGCCATGAAAGTTTTTGGTAATCGAGAAGCAAACGATATAATGTATGTTCACCATTGTCCCGCGTGCGCACGCTTCTCTAATTTTTTTTTCTTCTTTTTTTCTTCTTTTCTCCATCTTTCTCTTTTTTCTAGCAACCCTTTCTCACCCCTTCCCCTTTTCTTCTTCTACTTATTTAAAACTTCGATTGTTAAGTAACAATGTACGTTGGATTTACTTAATACTTTATCTTAGAATGCTCTGGAATATCCAATGAAATGAATTTCGAGGTTAAGCGAGCACGTTGTCGACGATATTTAGCAATTCTTAGCAAGAGGATGTTAATATCGTACGATGTTCATTATCATTCAAACATTTTGATTAACAATTTGATTGTATACATCATGTATGTTTATATTTATTTTATATGATTTTATTTCAAATATTAACAAATATTTTAATTTATATTTTTTTATGTCTTATTTCTTTTTTTTCTAGATCATTCACTTTTTTATCAAACTTTTTCAAATGAAGAAAACAGTGGCTACAAAATGATTAAAAAGTGGATACAAATTCAATTATTATATATCTCTTATTGTTATGATTACATTTGTTGTAGATAAAATGTGTGACCAAATAAGTGATGCCATTCTGGATGCACATTTGAAACAAGATCCTGATGCCAAAGTTGCCTGTGGTAAAAAATTTTTCTTTCTATTTTGCATAATTTTTTTCCAATCTTAATCTTAATTTAAATATTCTATTTATTTAATATATATTTTACAGAAACAGTCACCAAAACAGGAATGATACTACTTTGCGGAGAGATAACATCTAAAGCGGTGGTAGATTACCAAAAGATTGTTCGTGAGACCGTTAATCATATCGGTTATGATGACTCTTCGAAAGGTAAAATAATTTTCTATAGAGATATGAATTAAAGCAAGCGTTTCTTTTGATACTATTTGTTTTCTATTTTGGATAATATTCATGCTACGTTATATTTCTGAAATATTAACTATACGGTAACAATAATATCATTGAAAGAAAAGAAAAAAAAGTAAGAAAAAGACATTAACCGAAATATATGCATGGCCACCCATGACCGAATTTGACTTCAATTGCCCTCAATTCATATTGTTCATAGCTAAATTTATGAATACACGGTCGAATCATGGCACGATAGCTGCAAGCACCAAACATCAAAATACTTATTGCATTATTTTGAAAGATTTGTCATTTATACGAATATTATATAAAATATATATATCTAAGATATGCTTTACGCTACATATGTCATTTATATATAATAAGATGTTGGACTTGGAAAATTTCCATGACTCGATCGATGAGAGGTACGTTTAAATGTCGCATTCATTATCATACGGAAGAATATTAAGACGAATGCATAAGAATATGTAACGTAAGCGTATCATGGTCGTGGCAGGATTCGACTGGCGTACGTTGAACCTTTTGGTGGCACTAGAACAACAATCTCCAAATATCGCTGATGGTGTTCATGTGGACAGGGAAGAGATGGACTTGGGTGCTGGCGATCAGGTACATTATCGATTCTCAGCCCGTGCCACAGAGCAGCCAAATAATTATTTAACATCAACGATCTTCCCTGTTCTTTTCTTTAATTTTATATAAATCTTCCTTTTCCTCTTAAATAAATCTGCAGGTATTAACACGCATTCACATATGTGCCTATGTGTATATGCGTTTTAATTAAAATGACTTGAACTACCTTAGGATAATATATACACATTTATATTCCTCAAAATTTAAACTCACATCATTTTCATTAATTAAAAAATATAAATTATCCGAACAATACATAGGGGATTTAGATAGATATTAATAATTAGAGAATATATATATATATATATATATTATTATTATTATTATTATTATTATATATATATATATATATATATATATATATATCGTTAACATTTAAGTCATATGTTTACGCTGTTTTATGTATATTAAATTATATCTCAATTAAGTCAGATGACAAAATATAATTTAAAAACACACACATAATTATTTTAATTTAGGAAACATGAGCTGTGTATTTTTAATATTACACATGGGATAACAGGATTTAAAAAAAGAAATATCAACATAAGCTGTCAATGTTATTGTATACGGAATGATGATCATTTTTATCTCATACCCATCATTTCTACAGGTTTTGACTACAAGCTGTGCAGTGTTCTTTTGGCTCTTGATGCTCAGTCACCAAATATAGCCGCGGGCGTTCATGAAAATCGTAGCGATGAGGAAGTAGGAGCAGGAGACCAGGTCAATTAGCGCTCTTTCGTTTATTTCAGCTATTCTGTTCTCCTCCTCTCTTGTGTATATATATATATATATATATATATGTATAATATAAATAATTTATTTTTCTCTGTTATTAACAATCTTACTGTAATTCTCTATTAGTATCTCTTTGCTACAGTAGTGTTAATAGTTATTTTTCTACGCTTTTCTTTAGATACACGTTTTTACATATTTAACTTTTTCTTTGTTTAGAACTGTAGGCTTAAAAAACCTATGCTTTTGAACAAGTAGTTACATCTTTTTATAATTTAATTAATTGTGCTTTTTATGCTACGTACAAAAAAAAGATACTTTTTTTGTTAATTAATTTTATTCCTTTTGTCGATATTTTTTTTTTTTTTACTAAATTTATTTAGAAGCCAATTTTGCAATATTTCCTGTATTTATTTCTTCTTTGACAAATCAGTAGTATAGCAGTGATATAACAACGCTATCAAATTTCATATCTTCATTTCCGATGCCTAGATAATACATCTTAATTTTTTTTTCATTTTCACTCACTTGATTTATAGGTGCACAAGTGTACATTGTAGAAATCCATATCAAAATATCATTTTGTACATTTTCTTTATTTTCACATATCATTTTTATATTAATAACTAAATCATTTATATACTTTAAAAAACCCCAAACTTTAATCTCGAAATATTATACTGCTCTGTGTAGCACCTTTTATTTTGCATGCATAATGTAACACCTTTTTATTATTTTTATTATTTATTTTATTAATACTCTGTCTTTTTTATTTATTTATATTTATTATACTTTTAGTATTTATCTCTAAGTATGCATTATAAAAGAAAGAAATATGCTTAACTTTTTATGTTTTATGAGTTAGTAAAATACTTGTACCTCGTTGCTATCAAATATTGTTTTTATTTGCTTTTAAATTTATTTTTTTAATATAAATTTCAATGGTATTAATTGTAATTTTTACTATCAGGGCCTGATGTTCGGCTATGCAACAGATGAAACTGACGAGTGTATGCCATTGACAGTTGTATTAGCACACAAATTAAATCAAAAGATAGCAGAGTTAAGACGAAGCGGAGAACTATGGTGGGCAAGACCAGACTCTAAAACACAAGTTTGTATTTGTTTTTCTTTTTCATTTATACATAGATAATTTTATTTATAAGAGATTATTCAATGATGTTTTTTTAATTGTATTTGCTACTCTTGAGTGCCATGATGAGAACACATTTCTGAGAATAATCTATCGTAAAATGTATTATTTAATATAAACCAGAAATTATGGTTGTCGTCTCAATACAACAGAAATTATAAATATTTAAACTGATTTTCTTCTTATTAAGGTCACATGCGAATACATCATGGATCATGGAGCTTGCGTCCCAATAAGAGTTCACACAGTTGTCGTATCCTTGCAACACAGTGAAAAAATTGGCTTGGATGAATTACGTAAAGCTGTTATGGAGAAAGTTATAAAAGAAGTTATTCCAGCAAGGTATCTAGATGATAGAACAGTTTTCCATGTCAATCCTTGTGGACTTTTTATTATCGGTGGACCACAGGTAAAATCTATATTTTGCCAATAATATATATATAAATACAAAGTATTTCAGTTTTAGATGTATATATATATATATATATAATCGTAAATTAATTTTTATAGAGCGACGCTGGTCTTACTGGTCGTAAAATAATTGTAGACACTTATGGTGGATGGGGAGCTCACGGAGGTGGAGCATTTTCTGGGAAAGACTTCACTAAAGTTGATAGATCAGCTGCATATGCTGCAAGATGGGTTGCTAAATCTCTTGTTAAAGCAGGTCTTTGCAGACGCTGTCTTGTACAGGTAAAATCATTGAATTATTTGAAATAGTATTTTTCTTATTTAATTTTTAATTGTTAAGTTAGTTTATATTTATTTATTTCATTTTAGGTTTCCTATGCAATCGGTGTAGCCGAACCCCTTTCTATCACAGTCTTTGACTATGGTACTTCAAAATTATCACAGAATGAACTATTAGGAATAGTTAATAAAAATTTTGACTTACGACCAGGAAAAATTGTTAAGTAAGTATATTTCTATTCTCGTTTCATTAATATTGACATTATTTCATATTTAATATATTTTATGTCTCAATTTAGACAATATTAAATAATGTTTACTTCCTTCTTAAAGGAGATATCTTTTTAAATATAATATTGCATTTTATATTAAATTCATATATACAAAATTTGTGAACAAGATATTATATTAAAAAAACAAAATAATTTCAAATATAAAATACATAATGCTTAACATTTTTTTTACAGAGAGTTAAATCTTCGTAATCCTATTTATCAACAGACCAGTACGTACGGTCATTTTGGTCGTGATGGGTTTACATGGGAACAACCAAAAATTTTGAACCTCGATTGATGAGAGGATGCATACTAAATCATTAGACGTTACTCATTTAGAGCGTCTTAATAATTAACTTGTCCTCTTTCCCTTACTCCGTGCCTGTCTTATTTTCTCTCTCTCTCTCTCTCTCTCTCTCTCTCTCTCTCTCTCTCTCTCTCTCTCTCTCTCCTTCTCTCACTCCTCTCACTCCTTTCGTATCCATGAAGCGAAATCTTTTATCTCATCGAAATTAATTCAAAATATTTGAATCTACATTCGCCACATGTTTATTCGGTTTTATTCTTAATTTATTTGATTATTTTATATTACTTAATTCTTATTTTTTTTTCTTCTTTTAAATTTTCAAATTTAATAATATAAAACGCGGGGGGAGACCAGTAATTTGTCATCTACATTAGACTCTTAATACGCCATGGAATATGTCGTGTCTATAATCATGACAGACATAGTACAAACTTCGTGCATAATCCGATACACTGGCGTGAACGGTCCTTTGCTCCTCCTTTTTAATTCCTCTTGAATCTAATAGCAGACATTATACGTCGTAAAGATTTGACGGAAACTAGTTTTATATATATATATAAAATTAGAGAAGAAAAAAAAAGAAAAGAATACAAAGAAGTAAGGAAAATTTATGAACTAATAAGTATTTACCAAAACAATGGAAAAAAGACAGAAAAAAGTTTTATTCTTTCAATAATTGGGTAACAATACGAATTTTTCATGTTAAAATTATATGAGTTTTTTGTTTTTCATATAATTTTTACATAAATCTATATATATATATGTATATATACATATATATATAATATATTGATTTAATAATTATTTCACATATATTATTGACTGTGACATATGTCTCGTGAATTTTATGTAGCCACATCATGTAGATAGTAATCACATTAGTAAATAATTATCGAATAATAGTAATAATAATGATAATCTGGTTTTATCGAGAACAAAAAATGATTCTCATAATAATTCTGAATCTGAATTAAGGGCAGAGATAATCTAATAATACGATTTTATTAACTTATGAATAGAAAGATCTTTCAACATAGATTTGTTGTTAAGTTCGACATGATGAGAGAAATTTATTCAATTTTTTAAATATAAAAAGAATGATTGATATATGGTAGTTTCAATTATAATTTTAAACAATGACAAAAGTATGTGTAAAAGGAAAAAAATTAATCGAAAAAACTTTGCACGTTTCCTTGATCTGATAATATATATATATATTTATCAACATTGGCAATGTAATTAAAGATGCACAAAAAAAGTGATCATAATATACATGAATTATAATTAAATAAATTTTTTTAATAAACGGTCAAAAAACTTTTCTTCCGCTTTTGTTCTTCCTTTTGTTTTTTTCTGCTTTGTTCTCTTTTTCTCATTTATTTATTTATCTAATTTCTTTTTTCTAACAATTTCACTTCACTCGATCAGAATATATATATATATATATATATATAAGTATATATATGTATAACGTGTGGTCTATTATTAAATGATATAGCAGCATTATAGAATGAAATATATTTATCTATTCAATATATAATAGCGTTTTCATAGCGCAATTTGTGAAAATACTATAAATCTAGTTAAGCTACTTTGTACGATATTTGAATAGTAATAATGAGAATACCGAGCTCTGTCATATGTACTTGACATATTATTATTATTATTATTATTATTATTATTATTATTATTATTATAAATCGTAACGAATATTAGGAATATTCTTCATCTATAATATACATTGCATAATGATTCTTTATTTATTCTTTCTCTACTGCCGTTTAAAAGTAATAGTGTTGCAGTGTACTTAACAATACACATTGAGCGTTTTATTTTTCTTTTAAATGAAATTTTTAAATGATCTTAATAATAATAATAGTAATAATAATGTACATTAAATGAACAATATTTGCAAAAAATAATACATAGTATACCAATAATCGTAACTGTGTGTACTTTTTATGAAATGTTGAACGTAACATTCGAATAATAATATAATAAAATTTTAACATTTATTATTCGCTCGATGCAAGTACACTTCAAATTGCTATCGCTTTATTAGAAGAATTATGCGTTACAGATAGAATTATAAATATCATACAATATCGAGTAGTCGATAAATTTTTCCATAATCTTTCTTACACCATCAAACTACTAACGATATAATATTACACAGAATTAAAAAACGAGTATATATATCAAATTAAATTTGCAAACATGACTATATTATACCCCATGAAAAAAAACATTTCACAAATAGATAATTATATATATCTACGTATTATAGAATGTTATATAAGTTTTGCATTTTATAAAGTTAAATAGCATTGCCAAGAAAGAAAAAAAATGTGTCTATCTAACGTTTAGCGAGTAAAAATAATTATGATTGTGTACATAAATTTCATCCTGTATTTAATAATAAAGTTATCATACGAATTTAGTAAATGTATATGCATATCAAACATCGTATATATAATCTTTGAATCTTATCATATTAAAGATGAACGACATTTACATCAGGTAAAAAAATCATTATTTTCCATCAATATATTGTATATTTATAGATATATACATAGAATATATATTTAATAGTGTATATAGTACATAAGGTCTTTATGAATATTATACATTGAAAAGTCTAATTTGATTTTTCCTTTTTAAAAATTTTTCTATTTAAAAAAATATTTTAATTTAACTTTACAGTTGGCAAAAAAAAAACTTACTTAATTTTAAATTATAAGTGATGCAATACATATGTTAATCCCAAAAAACTCTATATTCGCTACAATTTTGTTCAAAAGTAGTACATATGCTATAACGTAATCGTTAATTTCTTTTTTTCTATACACTTATTTAAGGAATAATTGAAAGATAATAGTAAAAATAATTGTTAAATACAATTAATCAAATGAATAATAAAAAAAAGGTTTAATATACCTTTCTGTGATATACAAAGTTTCTGTGGGTCAGTTGTATATGTATTACAATAATTTAAATGTTAATTAATAAATCTCATATGTATATGATAATAGTTAATAGTGATTTTCATTTGTAACTATAAAAGTTCGAATATTTTTTTTTCTTTTTATAAAAGATGTACAACTGGACCCAAAGAAGTAAAATTCTTCTTTTTTTTGTTTACTGGAAATAAAACGCAACGTTGATATTCATTTAACATTAATTCGATGTAATCTTTTTAGGTGCATGAATTTGACTGTGCCTTAATAGTGAACTTTTATCGGTAAAAGTTTTTTCACATTCGACGCACTTGTACGTTCTACCAGTATGTGTAACTAAATGCCTACTAAGTCCAGATGCATGACAAAAAGCTTTAGGACATAATTGACAATGATGAAGTTGTATATCATTTGGATCCAACTTTTGATGTCGACGCATGTGTACTTTCAGTGCTTCGCGTTGGGTAAAGCTCTTGTCACAATGTTGACATTGGAATGGTTTTTGTCCAGAATGAGTCATTAAATGACGTAGTAATATTTCTTTCTGAGCGAACGCACGATGACATATATTGCAACCAAATGGTTTTTCACCTGAAAATAATACAAAATTTAAAAATTCATCAAGTCTTATAATATTAAAAGAAAAAATATAACAGATATTTATTATATTAAAACTAACCCGTATGCGTGCGTTCGTGTCTTACTAATGCTGATCTCGTAGGGAACCATTTTTCACAAGCTTGACAGGTAAATCCTCTTTGAGTAGAATGAACAGATTGATGGCTTTTTAACATAATTCTTCTATTAAATGCTTTTGGACACTTATCACATTTAAATATTTTTATCTCTGCGCTTGCATCAACTATAAAGAATAAGATAATCGTATTAGTTATTTTTTTCGTTTACTCTTATTCAATAGTCAAAATACTTCGTTATGTAATCTATGTACCTATTGTATCACCTATCGGTTGCAATTTCAATGACTCTCCTTGACCAGAACTGTTACTAGTCAACTCCATCATGTAAACATTTTTATGATCAGCATTAGCGATAGCTCTTTGTACTTCTTCAGCTTCATCTTCAGATTCTTGTTCTTGTTTAATCCTAGTTGTACGTATCGTACATCGAGCTTTCGCTGTTCTTTCTTCAGCTGGCACTAATGTAATACTTTCTGGATCTTCCGACATAGGTTCTTCCATTTCTGTATTTTCAGAATTCATACCTAAAATTTTTTCCCAAAATGAATGAAATGTAATACATTCTAATTATCTAAATATTAGTTTTCTACAATAATCATCACATACCTAAAATATATCCACCAATTAATTCTTCTTCAGTAACTTCAATAGGATCTCCATCAGCTTGGCCTCCACTTCCCTTGGTCGATACTAAATCAGCTAACAATTGTTTAACTTGTTTAGATTTTCCACTACCCGATGCTTCTTTCAAACCATCCGTATTGCATTCTTGATTGTCCGTCTCTTCATCTTGCTCTGAATATTTGCGTATCATCTTTATATGTGACCTAAGTTTAACGTCTACCGCTTCACATTTCTTTTTAAATTGATACGACTTTTCCAGCTGATATTTGCATGGATAACAAATTTTATTTGGTAGGCCATCTTCCTCGTAAACCTAATCATATAAAATATATAAACACATTTTCTTTTTATTGTAATACAATCAATTTAAATATATAGAATAATAAAATTAATGTTATCGAAATGTTTCAACATCGTTAAAAAGAAAAACAAAAATGTTTGTTAATGTAATGAGACAATGAGACTGTTAGAAATTAAAAGGATAGGATTGCATAATGATTAGAGAATAATTATGCCCCAAAAGTCGATTATATTTGATAATTATGTTGGAAAACATGATAATCAACTTTATAATAGAATTGCATGGTGAGAACAAAGAGAGAAAGAGAAAGGTAAATGTCTATTGAAGATTGAACGTTGCAGATTTCTATAAATTCAAAAGGTAAAGATGGTATTATTACATTTTGTAGAGTAGTGCACTCTCTCTCATTCTAGATCCCTGTAAAACGAAGGGAGCGCGAGATATGGAGAGTTACGAAGTCGATAACTCGGTAAGGCCGGTAGTTACTGTGAAAGCAT